GAGCTGCAAATTAAAACAACAATGAGGTATCACTTCACACCTGTCAGAATGGCCGCCATCAACAAATCTTCAAACAAGTGTTGACAAATTTGTGGAGAACAGTGGACTCTAGTACATTGTTGGTGGGAATGTAGACTGGTGCTGCCACTATGAAAAGCAATATGGTGTTACCTCAAAAAATTAAAAATTGAACTGTCATGTGACCCAGTGGTCCCACTTCTAGGAATAGACCCTAAGAAGCCTGAAACACTAATCAGAAAGAATATATGTACCCCCATGTTCATAGCAGCACTATTTACAATAGCTAAAATCTGGAAACAGCCCAAGTGTCCATCAGTAGATGAATGGATAAAAAAGCAGTGGTACATATACACAATGGAGTACTATGCAGCTGTAAGAAAGAAAGATCTCTTATCTTTTGAGATGACATGGACGGACCTGCAAAGTATTACCCTAAGTGAAAAAAGCCAAGCAGAGAAAGACAAGTATCATATGATTTCACTTATTTGTGAAATATAATCAACATAACAGTCTGAAGAACAGGGTAGTCCCAGAGATGTGAAAGTAGGGTACAAACTGACAATCCTCAGAAGAGGAGGTGGGGGAGGGAAAGATAAACCATAAATCTTATATGCATGTACACATAACCAATGAACATGGGCAACAAAGCTGGGGACAGGGTGGAGGAGGGTGTCAATGGGGGAAAAAGGAGAAACATCTGTAACAAAAATAAAATAAAATAAGATTTTGCTACAAAAAAAGCAATGGTTATAAGAATGCTCAAGGAAAGGAAGAAATAACACTGTCATTATTTGCAGATGACATGATACTGTATATAAAAAACTCTAATGACTCTACCAAAAAACTACTAGAACTGATAAGTGAATTCAGTAAAGTGGTAGGATGCAAACTTGGTAAGAAATCAGTGTCATTGTTATACACCAATAATGAACTTTCATAAAGGAAAATAATCCCCCTTACAATTACAAAAAATAAAATAAAATACACAGAAATAAATTAACCAAAGAGGTGAAAGATCTATACTCAGAAAATGATGAGATACTTAAAAAAGAGATTGAGGAAGATATAAATTAGTGGAAGCATATCCCATGCTTGTGGACAGAAAGAACTAACATTTTAAAAATGTCCATACTACCCAAAGCAATCTATATATTCAGTGCAATTCTTATCAAGATACCAATGGTGTATTTTACAGAACTAGAACAAATATTTCAAAAATTTATATGGAACCACAGAAGTTCTCAAAAGGCCTCAGCAATCTTGAGAAATAAAAACAAAGTTGGATGTATCATACTACCTGATATTAAATAATACTACAAAACCATAGTAATCAAAACAGCATAGTACTGGCATAACAACATATAGATCAGTGGAACAAAATAGATAGCCCAGAAATAAACCCATACTTTTATGGTCAATTGATATTTTACAAAGGAGGCAAGAATATACAATGGGGTAAATAAAGACAGTCTATTCAATAAATGGTGCTGGGGAAATTGTACATATACCTGCAAAATTTTCAGAGATAGAGTTCAGAGCCATGATCTTGAGGAAGCTCAACAGCATGAGTTAAAAAAAATGAAACTAGACCACCTCCTTACACCATACACAAGAATAAACTCAAAGTGGACTAAAGACTTAAATGTGAAACTCACAACCATAAAAATCCTTGAAGAAAACAGTCAATAAAATCATGGACGTTTGTCATAGTAATATTTTTTCCTGATAGATCTTCATGGGCAATGGAAACAAAAGAGTAAATAAAAAATAGGACTACATCAAATGAAAACGTTTTTGCACAGCAAGAGAAACCATCAATAAAATAAAGAGATAACCCACTAAGTGGGAGAACATTAGGTAAGGGGTTAATATCCAAAATTTATAAAGAACTCAAATAATTCAACACCAAAAACAAGCAATCTAATTAAAAAATGGTCAAAGGACCTGAACAGACACTTCTCCAAAGAAGACCAGGAAACGTATGAAAAGATGTTCAACATCACTAATCATTAGAGCAATAAAAATTAAAAGCACAATGAGATATCACCTCACACCTGTCAGAATGGCTATCATCAATAAATCTACAAATTACCAGTGCTGTCCAGGAGAAAAGTGGAGAAAAGGGAACCTTCATGCACTGTTGGTGGGAATGCAGACTGATGCAGTCACTGTGGAAAACAATATGGAGTTATCTCGAAAAGTTAAATATTCAACTTCCTTATGACTCAGTGATTCCACTTCTGGGAATATATCTGAAGAAACCCGAAACACTGGTTTGAAAGAATATATGCACCCCTATGTTCACTGCAGTCCTATTTACAATAGCCAAGATTTGGAAGCAGTCCAAATGCCTATCAGTAGATGAGTGGCTGAAAATGCTGTGGTACATTTACACAATGGAATACTACTCAGCTATAAAGAAAAGGGAAACCGTATCTTTCATGACAATATGGATAGATCTAGAGGCTATTATGCTAAGTGAATTAAGAAAGTCAAAGACAAATACCATATAATTTCATTTATATGTGGAATCAAATAAACAAAATAAACAAACAAAATAGGAACAATCTAACATATAGAGAACAGACCAACCAACAACTCTCAGGGAGGAGGTGGGTTGAGGGGCTTGGTGAAATAGCTAAAAGAAATCAGCCAGGAAAACAAAAAAGACATATTGAGAGAGTGCTTAGCAAATGGACACTCAAAAATTCTGAAATTAATTAAATTTACTACATAAATTTAAATAATAGATGTTTCTTGTATGAATTTAAATTATTTATATAACATGTAATAACAATATATAATACAGTTGCAGGGTCAGTCTTTAATGTAACCTATTGTCACCTTGAGGACTTATAGGATTTTGCCTCAAAGATAAAGCAGATTTTCATTTTTGTATCAGTAGAGATACTTGTTTTTTACTTTCTAAATTTTGGATAAAATGCCCTTGGTTTTCAGTTTTACTAAAAGCATCAATATTTTTTATAGGATGCTTTTCACTTCAGGCTATGTAAGGATTTGAGTGGTTCATGTGAGGACTGCCCAATTAGGTAATCGTTACTTACAGGCAAAAAATAATAAAATCATGCCTTTAAGAAAGTTTGGCCAAAATGAGAAATTATGTCACATGTAATTAAATGTACTGCTGTTTAAAATTATTATTTGAAATTATGACATTATTAATAGAACCCTAATTTAAATTGTTTTCTAAGTTATTCAAATTCTCATTTTCTTCTTTTTGGGGGAGATGAACTGCTAACCTTTGTAACAGATGATTGAAATTGGAGTAAGCCCATTGCTTGGAAAGTTTGTTTTCTCTGTACCAAACTTAGTGTTTCAAAAGGGTATGCCTAATTTATGAATAATAATGTCTTTACTTTAGGGTAGTTGCATTGCCTTCTTGTCATAATCAACTGAAGTTCTCAGTTTAGATATTTTCATCTTTTCCTTTATTCAAACATTTACTGAGCAACTTATCTTCTGATACCCTGGCTAAGTGCATTAAATATGAGTAAGATACTGTCCCTGCCTTTATAATGAGTTTCCATTTTCAGATTGGTGTCAATTTCCTTGATTTCATTTTCAGATCGATGCAGACCCTGGACAAGTTTATTTGATTTATATAACCTTCATAAGTTAGCTAAGATTCCTGCTGACCAGACCAATTGATCCAATTGTTATATAACATGTAATCTCAGCCCTGGCCGGTTTGGCTCAGCGGTTAGAGCGTCGGCCTGCGGTCCTGAGAGACCCAGTTTGGTTCCCGCTAAGGGTGCGTACCTCGGTTGCAGTTTGTCCCCGGCACTGGTTGGGTCGTGCGGGTGGCAGCCACTCGATGTGTTCCTTTCGCATCGATGTTTCTCTCTCTCTCTCTGTTCCTCTCTCTCCCTCTCACTCTACCTGAACAAAAAATGGAAAAATGTCCTCGGGTGAGGATTAAAAAAAACACACACACACAAAAAACATGTAAACTCAGACACAATATGTTCTTTTAACTGAGATAGAGTAACTTTAGAGACCATTATTGCTAGATTGCTATACTGATGAAGAATTTTAAATTCTTGGCTGCTATGTGAAAATTTCGTTCGGTAATGCCCTTGGGATGTGAACACTGCATTTAGCCGGATGTCCTTATTCTGAAGCATGAACTAATTTCAAGACTGCCTTCCGAAATTTTATATGATTTAGAAACATTTTTCCATGTAATATGCAGTTTTTTATCCTACTGGATCTCCTTTTTCTGTGCATAGTCAACACCCCCTCCCTCCAATACCTAACAGCTGTACTCTTTCCACTCAAGAGATATTATTAATCAATTGAACTACATGTTAACTTGAACTGAACAACTGGACTCTTTCAGTCATTTATTTGTTTCATAATATTTTTAAAAAATTGATTCCTTTGGTGTACAATTTGATTGTATCAAATTATGTATCTTAGTTTAATTTGTAGTTTATTCCACTACTTTGCAGGACATTTGGTCTTGTCTAAAACATCTACTGAGATGAGACATCTAGTCCTTGGTTCATATTTCCCATAACATTTATGTATACCTGTAGTTTACAGGATTAATATATAAAAAAATACTATCATGTGTTATGGGTCTAAAAATTGTGTTGCAGCTACACAGTCAACAAGAACCCTTCTTGCCTCCGTAACCTAACTGGCAATGACACATGGATTAGGCAGGTGGGTTGGGGCTGGAATTTTGCAAAAAGTAAGATTTATATTAACTATGCATGTTTTGGACAGAACCAACATTCAAGGATCTTTTGGCATGGACCCAATGTCTCTGTGGATGTTTTGGAGGGGACCAAATGTCCACTAATCCTCCACCAAACTGAAAAAAAAGATTAGCAAAGCAATTTTCAGATGACGCTTTTTGTCTTTCTGTATTTGGGTGACTATTATACATATAAATAACATTAAGAAAAGAAGGCACAGCACTAGAATTCAAAGAACTACTGTGGAGTACTTACCGTATGGTGATAGGGACGAAGGCATTTGTGTCGATGCTGTAATTAGCAGAAAGAGTCAAGCTATTTTGGGAACTTCCACATTTATATTTAACCGTGGGCCTTCCTTCCACAAGAAGTAAATGAAGAAATTGTTGTCCAAAATTTTTCTCACTACCTTTAAGAACAAAATTACATACATTAGTGAGAAATGTAGATTTACTGTATTCAGGAGAATGAATAACAATTATTCATTCAATGCACAAATTTTTGCCCTCTAGGAGTTATGATTTGGTGAGATCACAGGAGTGTTATTAGATAATTATTCAATGTAACAGTACTATATTAGAAATACACATTATTTTCTACAGGCCAAAAATAGCATGATGTTAACAGCGTTAACTTGACATGAGATATTTTCTTCTGACTCTTTACTGATAGTAGATGACAACTATTTTGAGCTTCACTTTCCTCATACATTATAATGGGATAATGAGAGCAACTGATTATTAGAAGTGCTGTGATAATTAAATAAAAAATGCCTGGCACCAATTGAATAGTGAATAATTTGACTTATTATTATTATTTATATTTTAATTTTAATGTGTCTTTCATTAAAACAAAAATGATGAATTCTAAAGAAAAAAATAAACCTTCTCCCTTCCTCCAGCCCATCCTTTGTCACTTTGATGTATTGTTTTCTATCATTTACATATCCACATACACATATTTTTATAGCTTCATTTTATTTTTAAAAGTAATGAAATAATGTAACAATAGCTCTATTCATCTTTTCCTTTTCACTTACCAATACATTTTAGACATCTTTCCATGTAAGTACATAAATTTCTTTTATAAACATTCTTGATTGGAATATCACTCATACAGAAAAATCGCAGATTTTAAGCATACAGCCCAGTAAATTATTACAAAGTGAATTTGCTCATGCAGACACCATCAATTTAAGAAAAAGAACATTATTTACATTGTCAGGAGTCCTATCAATTACTACTTCTTTCTATCTTCCAACAACAATAACCATAATCCTGACATTTAACAGCTAGGATTACTTTTGCTTGATTTTAATCTTCATATTAGTGGGTCATACTCTATCTATTATTTTGTGTCTATTTGGTTTTGCTCAATATTATGTTTGAGAAATAGCATTCATGCTACAGTTTATTAATTTTCATTGCTTCAATATTCTATCAAACAAATATTCACAATTTGGTTATTCCTTTTTCTATAGGTAGCCACCCCTCCCAGTTTTTGGTTATTATTCATAATGCTGCTATGACAACCTTATATGTGTCTCATGTGTTGAAGTGCATGGGCCTCTGTTCTGTATGTAACTAGGAGCTGAACTGTTCTATGAGTATGAATATGATTAATTTAGTAGCTATTGCCAGTTTTCCAAAATAACGTTTCAATTTAACTTCTTAGCAGCAGCATGTATAAGAGTTACAGTTTCTACCATCACTTGGGATGGTCACCTTGTAGATTTTAACTATTCAGTGTTTACTATTATAGCTTTAATTTTCTTCATATTAGGGAAGTTGAACATATTTTCATATTCTGTGGCTATTTTGATACCCCTTTTTTGTGAAATGTCAGTTTGTGTTTCTATTAGGCCATATTTCTATTTGGTTGTTTTTTCCCTTATTGATTACAGAGTTATATCAATGTATATATTTAATATCTATGTTTATATACATATATATGTATGTGTATAGGATACAAGAGCTTTGTAAGCCATATATATTGAAAATATCTTCTCCAGTTCGGTAGACTGTCTTGTCAATCTCTGAAGGATGAGTTTTGATGAACATAAATTCTTAATTTTAGTGTAGGTCAATTTATCAATTGTTTCATTTGTGATTATACTTAGCATTTTTACATTATCTATTGTATAAAACAAGAGCATTAAAGATTTAATAATAATATATAAGTTGCAAAGACCATCATATAAATGGTTGAAAATTACTCTTTTGAGATTCTCCTTTTCTTCTTTACTAAAGTCCACTCAACCCATCCATGTTTTCCTCACACTTTGGAGGACAAAATCCCAAATTAGCCCATGCCTGGCAGAGGGAAATGTATCTTCACCTTTCTGCCTCTCCTGAGATCCATTAGCAATTTTTTTTTTTTTTGACTTCTGCTCTTTAGTGTTTTCCTCAGTTTCCCCATGACTTTCGATTCAATTTCTTAGTTTTTCTCTGAACTTGAGAGTTTAATTAATAATTTATTGTATTACTTTTGACTTTTTTAAGTTGGGAGAGGGTCTTGGGGCCAATGGGAGCACATTTAGAAACACCAAACTTTGTACCAGCATCTTGTGTTTTCTCTCCTGGGATACAGAAAAGCTTCTATCATAAAATGGCATAAAGTTGTTCTTCATTCCTGAATTGTTGGCTTGTTCTCCCCCCACATCCATCCAGGAGAGGAAGAGGAAGGTGATTTATTTTGTTATGTACTAAGGAACATTCTGTTATCCTGCTCCCTCTCACCATTTTTACTTAGAAGTTCCTAATATTTAATATTTTTATAAATTGTGAAATGTTACCATTTCAGACTCATATTTTTTTAGATAAGACTTAGAAATACAATAGACAGAATAGAGTAGAACAGAGCTGACCATTTAGGTCAGATGGTTGTGCCATATGTACAAGGCTTGTTTTTCAAAGCTTTAAAAACTGAATTTGTAAAATTGATGATACACATTAAATGAGGTGTCATTACCGTGCAAGAATAAATTATTTTTAAAGGAAGATCAACGATAGGGATGAATAGTTTTATTCAAATATAGCAAAATTCCATTATAAAACAGTGCTACCCTATAATATAATACATGATTAGGTTGCTTTAATAAAGGTAATGGGGATAAAGATGAAAATAAACAACTAAGCTTAGTTCTCTCTATAGTCTGCTATATAGTAATAGTTTTCAATTCCCCATACTATTTATTCTATTACTAAGTTATTTCTTGTTTGTATAATAACACTTTTAAATGACTTCAAAGCATTTTGCAGAAAATATGTGACAGTAGGTAGGGAAGACCTATGGCTACTGATGTATTTACATGATTCAATAGCAAATGATTCACTTCAGGGAATATAGGTCATATTGTTTGATTGACTTTTTTACTTTTGAATCAATTGACTTTGTATTATAAAACCTAGATCCTGTAGTAAGAGAAATGCTAAAAGTAAACAGGAGGAATTCTTTGCTTTTCACAAATAGTACTAAAGACCTTATATTTTCAAATACAATTATAATGGAAATACTTTGATTTTAGAATTGAAAACTTAGTGGCAATAGTAAAACAAAGGAAATACATGATTTTCAAAATAGAACTACAGAAGAAAATTATAAGCAATGACTACTCTTGGATAGATGTATATTTTTCTATTAGCTTTATGGGTTCCACATGCTACATTAACTTTAGTTCACCATTGTTCATTAAACCCAAAGACAGCAAGCAAAAGTTAATGTTTTTCTCTCTGACATACACACACCCACCCACACACACACTGTGGGGCAAAAGTTGGTTTACAGTTGTTCGTATGATAAAATAATTAATAAATAATACAAGAATAAACTATTCTACATACATATATGTACACACACACACATATATACAACAAATGAAAAACCAGTGTGTGCTTTCCACAATATTCCAATTTGCACTGCCTTAGGACAGGACTTGAAAACTCTAGAAGAGCTCATTATCAAGCCATTGAAGGAGTCATTTGGTTGTTTCGCTGAAAAGATGCTTGATGATACATTAGTGAAGAAGTGTGAACCTACCCTTTTTTAGAAATAATTCTTTATGCTTTTAGACTGTGTAATAATTTTTTCAAGAAATCATTTATGTTGTGAGTTTTCTGGATACTTATCCAGAAAATGTTTTGAAACTCTATAATATCTATCATTCTCAAATTCTATTTATCATAATGAAATCATTGATTGTACCTCTTGATTTGAGATTTATTAAATTTAAAAAATGTTGCTTAGAACAATAAAGAGCATTAACTACTTGCAAAACAATAGACTCTAGTTTCTAGATATCATAGCACTTTAGAGAGAAAATCCTATAATTATGAGTCTGAAATTTATATATAGTATATTTATACAGGGTAGGGCAAACATAGGTTTACAGTTGAGAGTACATGAAACAATTTATTCTTATATTGTTATTTATTAATTATTGTACTATGTTTTCATATAAAAACTATAAACCTATGTTTGCCCCACTCTGTATAGAATATAAATTACTAGTCTCATAAGAAAAAAATAATAATGAAGTAATGCAGAAAGATGGAAAGAATGATATCCTAGGCAACTTTTTAAAAATTTTGGTTTGCTTGGGTATTGCATTGGGTTGTAGATCTGAAATTTTCTAAGCATGATACTTCTCACTTCATTGAAATACTGAAGATAGAGTATTCATGATTTATATGACTACATGGTTTACCATTTCCATTAGAATTGGGTATTTTCTTCATTTGAACTATTGAAATGACTGTTCCCAAACATCAATGACAATTTGATTTGGGATCCTATATAAATAAACAGTCAGAAGAGAGTCAGTTGGTCATCAATTTGAGTTAAAATGAAGTTCAACATCATTCCTTATAAAATGGATAGTAATTAAAACAGATAATATATAATAATAAATCACATATATAGTGGCTAAACTCCCATAATATAGATTTCTATCACTGTTCATAAAAGAAATAAAACCATACATTTGTGTAACACTTTGTATTTTTCAAAACACTTCTATGTACATTTTTCAAACCATGTGAACTTGATAATAAAAATTATATTTGCATTATTTACAGTCAAACTAAAATACAGAAAGGTTCACAGATTTACCCAAATTGTACAGTTAGCTCACACTGACTTGGGTTCAAGTCTATCCTTGTCTGACATTTAAGTCACCTACTGACATTTCGATCTGCCTACAGCAGTGCTTGTATGATCTCTTCATTCCTGGGGCCACCTTTGTGGCGTGTGACATGGACTGTTCTCTGAGCCTGCATTGAGTTCCCTATTGAATACATGTGCTTTGCAGCAGTGTTAGAACTCCTGTTTCCTGGATCTCCTTAAAGGGTTGTATTTGTGTATAGTAGCAGTAACCTCAGTAGCAACCTTAGCAGCAGCTGCACATGGTTA